CAGCACCTGGGACGGGCATGTGCTTGTCGCTGTCGCTGTGCTCTGGTCTCCCACTCCTGGAGCAGCCACAGCAGGTCCCAGGGGTCTGGAGACAACAAATGGCTCCCTGCTGATGGGCTGCCCGCCGCGTCCTGCCTGCCAGCCGGTCCCACTGCACACCGGCAGATAATCAAGTAGGGCAGGGGAACCTCTCCTGCCCACGGTGGTGTGATTTAAACCTCAACTTTGCTTTGCTTTCTTTCATCCCCTGGAGAAACAGGATTTAGATTCTAAATCTCTTTCTTCCTGAGAACATGCACATACACACAGGTGCACACACAGTTGCATATACACGTAAAGGTGTTACACAGCAAACTTGAATACTTACATACAAACACGTCTACCCATTTCTGCACCACACATGGACGCAGTCACGCACGACGCATCTGCATGCACAAACGGTTCTTGGCCACAGGTAAAGGCAGGAAGAGAATTTGTCAGTGGCTGGAACGGCTGTGATGTGTGAGGTGGGTGGAAGATGGTGAAGCGGACAAGGGATGCTGAAATTGCAAGAAACTCTCTAGACCTCACCCCACCTTGTTACATGGGAGAGGGGAATGAGGTGTGTGCTCTTGCATGCATGTGTGTGCCTGTGTGTGTGTCCCTGTGTGCAGGCGTGTGTATCTGTGAGTGCTTTGCAAGTGTGAGTTTGATGAATGCTGAGGTTGACAGTGTACGGACGGGGGAGTGTGTGCTGCACCGTGCTGGCCTTGGGACCGGACTCAGAATCGGACTGGTGTCCACAGCACCACTGCCATGCTGTGGGCAAGCTGTCACTCTTCTCTGGGCTCCAGCCTGGTTCCCCAGGGTTCTGCCAGTTCTGACTGTCTAGTTTCTCTGTGTGACCTTGAGGGTGAGTTTCTCCAAGGCTTGAATGAGCCAGGCGTGGGGTGTGCGTGTGTGTTTGATGAGCATTTGTGTGTTTATGCTGGGTACCTGTGTGTGCATGTTCATGTGTAGGTGTGTTGTAGGTATGTTTGTGCATGTGTTTTTGTCTGCATGTGGGCGTATTTGTGTGTTCAGGTGAGTGTACTTACAGCAGCGAGGGTGCCGTGTGCCTCTGTTTGTATTGTGAGTCTGTGTAGAGGCTGGTGTGAGCGTGTATGACAGTGAGCTTGGGAGGTGATCTGCGGGTGTTTGTTTGCCTAGTGGGAACGTTTGTAAGGGTGGGTATGGGAGGCTCCCCTTTCTTACTCCTCAGCTGGACACACTGTGTATTAATAGTTACTTCTTCTTCTTCTTTTTTTTTTTTGAGATGGAGTCTTGCTCTGTTGCCCAGGCTGGAGTGCAGTGGCATGAACTCGGCTCACCATGACCTTGGCTCACCATGACCTCTGCCTCCCGGGTTTAATCGATTCTCCTGCCTCAGCCTCCCAGGTAGCTGGAATTGCAGGCACCCACCACCATGCCTGGCTAATTTTTATATTTTTAGTAGAGATGGGGTTTCACCATGTTGGCCAGGCTGGTCTGGAACTCCTGACCTCGTGATTCGCCCACCTGGGCCTCCCAAAGTGCTGAGGTTACAGGCGTGAGCCACCACACCCCACCAGTAGTTACTTCTTTGTTTATGATTTCTCTCCCAAAACTAGACTGTAAACCCAATGAGGGTAGGAGTTTTACCTGTTTTGTTGATGGCTGTATCCCCACTATTAGATCAGTCCCTGGCACGTGGTGGTGTAGCGGATGTCCAAGAACATTCACTGAATGAATAAATGAATAACGTAATCACCCCCTTCAAGAGTTCCCTTAAGTGTCACTCTCTTGATCAGTGCTTACCACTCTACTTAAAATTGCTGCCTGCCCCTCCTCACAGCACTACAGTTCTTATGTTGTTCTCATTTTTCTTTTTTTATGTTACCTTCCAGTATAAGTGATTTACTAACTGTCATTTATTTTTATTTTTTGAGAGGGAGTCTCACTCTGTTGCCCAGGCTGGAGTGCAGTGGTGTGATCTTGGCTCACTGCAACCTCCGCCTCCCAGGTTCAAGCAATTCTCCTGCCTCAGCCTTCCGAGTAGCTGGGATTACAGGCGTGCACCACCATGCCTGGCTAAGTTTTGTATTTTTAGTAGAGACAGGCTTCACCATGTTGGCCAGGCTGGTCTCGAACTCCTGACCTCAGGTGATCCACCTGCCTTGGCCTCCCAGAGTGCTGGGATTACAGGCATGAGTCACCACGCCCGGCCTCATTTATTTTTTATGTACTAGCCTAAGTTTTTAAAATTGTTGGTATCTCTGTTAGGATGCAAGTCCTCACAAAGAGTGGAGCCTCTGTACCATTTGTCCACTGATGTCTTCCAGGTGCCTGGCGGCGCTTAATCGGTATTTACTGAGTGGGTGGATGGGCTTCCCTGTGTCATGAGGGCATGAGTGGGCTTTCGAAGTGTTCTGTGTGAATATGCTTATAAAGTGAGTGTTTGTAGGTGCGTCATAGTCAAAGACTGCATTTTTTTTTTTTTTTTTTGAGACGGAGTCTTGCTCTGTCACCCAGGCTGGAGTGTAATGGTACGATCTCGGCTCACGGCAACTTTCACCTCCTTGGGCTCAAGCCATTCTCCCACCTCAGCCTCCTGAGTAGCTGGGATTACACATGTGAGTCACCACACCTGGCTCATTTGTTGGTATTTTTGGTAGAGATGGGGTTTTGCCACTTTGCCCAAGCTGGTCTTGAGGTCCTGATGAGCTCAAGTGATCCACCCACCTTGGCTTCCCAAAGTGCTGGGATTACAGGAGAGGGCCACTGTGTGGGCCAGGACTGCATTTTTAATGATGTGGGTGACTGTGTTTGATGATGTGGGTAACTGTGTCTTTTGAGGCCCTAGGGGCAATTCTCTGATAGAGGCTTCAGGTTCGGGGCATCCTGCTTGGGTATTGTCAAAGGTTTGCAAACAGAACCATGAAGGGCTTCCCTGGGAATCTCTAGGAATCTTTCCCTTGATGGGCTACACACCTGGTAGCCATAGGCCTGAGCCCTATCCCTGGCAGCCTCCTGGGTCCACCCTTTCCTTTTCCCTTGGGCACATATGGGCCTCATGCTTAGGAAATTCCCTCACCCTGCAGCACAGTCTGAGCCTGGGGCTGGGAGGCTTCAGGAGAAGGGCAAAGGCTGGTGATCAGTGCTGGAGGACACCCACATGGGCAGCAGCTGGCTGGACATTCTGGGAAGAGGGGCCTTGGGGTGCCACTTGGGTGGGGTAGGATCCTGGCATCAGGGATTCAGGAGGCAGTAGTCAGTTCAGAGGCATCAGGATTTGGTGGCAGGTGGCTAAGCCCTGATGAGGGGTTGGGGAAGGGGGTCCAAGCTGGCCCTATGCTTAGGCTGTGGGGGGTCAGGGGCCCAGGCATCAAAGAGTTTAGGGAGTGATGTGGTTGTGGGGGCCAACACGAAGAGCCCATTGTTTCAGTCTTCAGGGAATGGTGGGATCTGTGCCTCCATTCAGTCCTGTTTAACATGAAGGTGGTGGGCACAGAGCAGCTGGGAGGTGGGCACAGAGCGGCTGGGAGGTGGACACAGAGTGGCTGGGTGGTGGATGCAGAGCGGCTGGGAGGTGGGGCTGGGGAGGCTATCCTGTGGATGACAGTGTCAGGACCCAGAAGGCACTCAACCAAGTGATACTTGGGGCTGAGGCTAAAAGACACATGCAGCAAGGCCAGAGACAAAATGCCCCCTTAGGCCAGCATTAGGAAATATTCTCTAGTGCGTGAGTGGTGGTCAGGGTCAGACAGCTGCACTCATGTTTCACCCTCTCCAGCTGTGTGACCTGGGGAGGGTTATGTAACCTCTCTGAACCTCAGTTTCCTCATAGGCACAATGCAGATACTTTCAAAAAAAAAATCTCAGAGTGAGATTGGAAGGATCAAGCCGTCATTACTACTGTTCTTATTGTTATTTTAAAAACTGTACAGGTCCAGGAAGGAAGGACTGCCTCGACAGGACTTCAGACAAAAAAGATCCAGGGTTTTGGCTGATCTCAAAGTAGGATAAGGGTCTAATATGGATGGTGAAATCTGTGGCATACAAAAGAACGCAGTGATCCCTGGAGCCAACATGGGTTCACCAAGACCGGGCACAGCTCTTCAGTTCTGGACAGCTTAATGACTCGTGGGTAAAGAAAACGAGCCAGCATGGGTGGAGAGGAATCTGTGATTTATTGAGCACCGACTGTGTGCTGGGTACTTCACACACATGGTTTTATTTCATCCTCACAAGCTTGTGCCCTGGATGCGACTATCTCCATTTTACTGAGGAGACACTGGGTCTCCCGGAAGTGACTTGCCCGAGGTGGGTGGAGCTGGGATTCAAACCTGGGTCTGTCTGACCCTTTCTGCCATATCACACTGCCTCCTAAGATGTGGGGTAGAGTCTCTTTCCCTCTTGAGGACATGAGGTATGTCTGAGAGGGCACAAAGCGGGTTCCCACTGAGCCTAACTACAGCCATGAAATGTTCACATAAGCAGAACCGGGTCCATCCACAAAAGGCCTGTAGACACTTCCATGGCACTGGCCACCCTGCTTTTGACAAATCTATGCCAAGGACCTAGAAGAAGACATGCAGGGTGCAGACCTCTCAAAGTTGGAGGTGGTAGAAAGCTCTAAGGGACAGAGAAAATCTCAGCAGAATCAGGATTTAGAAAGATCTCAACAGGCTGGCAACAGGCTGGCGTGGCAAGGTGAATTTAGCATGAGGAAATAACACAGGGAAAAATGCTGAGGCCCATCTTGACTACAGGAAAAACTGTAGAAGGGATGGCAGCTCATGAGAAAGATTTAGAAGCTCAAGTGCTGGTAAGTTCAGTGTGAGTCAGTCGGCTACATTAATAGAGGTGTGGGGTTTGGGACAAGGGAGGGGAAGCTCTCTCTAGCCTCAGTTTACTCTCTGCCTAGGGGCAGTTTCTAGTGTACATATTTGAAGATCATGTGCTATTTTCTGTTTTTCCAGTTCTCTCCCTGTCTTTTCAAGTCCTTAGGGGAGGCAGAGTCCTTTCGGAGTTTGACCCTTGGATTCCACCCAGAGCAGCTTCCAAAATGACACCTCTGAAGGTGGGAAAGACACTGCAGATTCTCTGGGTTTTTGTTTGAGGTCTGTCTTGGATTTGTCCTTTATGCCCAGTTACCATCAGTCAAGGGAGAAGAAAGTGCTGGTCTCCGAATGTTCTGGAACGAGGAGAGCTCCTGGTTCCCTGGTTCCCGCTGGCCAGGTGTACCCACTCCTTTTCCAGCTGTCTCCTTCCCTTCTTAGAGCCCTTTCCTGGTGGTCAGTGGCTTGCCAGGGCCTGGCCAGACTAGTTTTCTTATGCTGGAGGTGGGGCAGGAGGAGGGAGCCTTGCAGCTGCTCACACTGGGGCTGGATCTCCTCTTGAGCTGGGATGTCACCTGCCAAGCTGAATTCGGCACAGGAAGCTCCTGGCTGGAAGACGCGCTGTTTAATTTGGAGATTCTGTTCCACTCTGAAAAGCGCTTCTCCTGGCAGCTGCAGCGAAGTGAAGCTGTTGAGCTTCCCTCTCTTATGCCAGAATCACAGCCACTTTTTCCTGAGAAAGACACAGAGCTACACGCATTTTTACTCATTAAATACTTTTCTTCCTCTTAAATCTGTTTTTGTCATTTTTTTTCACGTGAATGGAAAAATAAAACGAGTGATATTGAAATAAACAAGGCGTTTGTGATGGGAAGGTTAAAGCAGATTGTTGGGGGTGGGAAAGGGGGTTGGAAACACTCCACGTTTCTGCATGCGGGCTGTTCATAGCCTGATGAGGACGAGAGTGAGAGAAAGTATTCATGAGGCTGCCCCTCTTCCAGCCCAGAGGAGTCAATTTCTCCAAGCGTCTTGGGCTTCAGTGAGAAAGGCAATGGAGAAGGGAGCTCTCATTTAATAGGGCCACCAAGGGCTAGGCCTGTAATATGGGTGAGCTCATTCAGTCCTCATAGCAACCCTGGGTGGTAGGACCTATTTTATAGATAAGGAAGGTTGAGGCGCAGATGAGTTAAGGTCAACCGCTCAGGGCACACGGAGCTGGGATTTGAGCCTCAATCTGGCTGACCTCTGACGCATGCTTTTTTTGGCTATACTTTGCTACCCTGGGCAGTTGTGTATTGAGTTGGGGGATGTGAAGGGAGGAGAAGAAAGAAGATGAAGAGACACCAGCCAGCCTTGAGGAGTGGACATCTTACCTGGTGAAAATGAACAAGACACTGACCGCATGTGAGTGAACTAAGCCCTGGTTGCTGGGCTCCGGCAAATATGGGTGGTTTGGGGAAGGGTATGTAAGAGTGGGTGTGGAGGGATTTGGCCTGATAATGACGGTAGGCTTCTTGGAGTTAGAGGGCCCTGGAAGTTGAGTGGCATTGAGGGAGCAGGCTTACAGTGTCCTGGGCAAAGGCGGGAAAGGTGTGTATATGGCTCAGGTGAGAGGAGGCGAGTCTGAGTGGGGTGGTGAGGGTTGTGGTGAGAATATCCTTGTTGGCAGAGGAGGATCAGGTTGGAAGATGCAGTGCAAAGAAAGCCCTGAGCTGGGAAGCAGGTGCCTGGTTCTTGTCCTGGCTCTGCCATTGATTTGCTGTGTGATCTTGGGCTAGTCCTTTTTCCTCTCTGGTGTCCAATTTTCTGTCTGTAAAGTGGTGGAATTGGACAAAGGATCCCTAAGGACGTTTGCGGATCCTAAGGAGAAAGAAGGTGACTCTGGTATCCAGAGGGCCTTGAATATCAACACTTGGCATTAGAATCATGAAATTTTAGGACTAAAAGGGTCTCCAGGAATCATCTACTTAAACTATCTTCCTTTACATTCTAAAGGATGAGTAGGAGCTATCAGGCAAAGGAAAGCAAAAGATGGAAGAGGGAGAAGAGGGCATTCCAGGAAGGAGGCACAGTGTGAACAAAGGCATGGATAAGGCACGGTGCAGTGAACATTAAGCAGGTTGATGTTGAAGAATAAAGACCAATGTGGCCAGGTGCAGTGGCTCACATCTGTAATCCCAGCATTTTGGGAGGCTGAGATGGGTGGATCACCTGAGATCACGAGTTCAAGACCAGCTTGGCCAACATGTATTTTGTCAAAATACAAAATTTAGCTGGATGTGGTGATGCACCTGTAATCCCAGCTACTTGGGAGGCTGAGGCAGGAGGATTATTTGAACCTGGGAGGCAGAGGCTGCAGTGAGCTGAGATGCCACCACTGCAGGCCAGCCTGGGTGACAGTGAGACCCTGTCTCAAAAAAAAAAAAAAAAAAAAAAAGACCAATGTGAGGTGTGGGGGGAGGTGTGTCATCAGTTTGGAGAGGGAGATGGGGCCAGACCTCGGGAGGACTAAGGGGCTTTGATTCCATCCTTTGGGTAATGGGGACTCATTGAAGCCTTGGGATGACATGCTCAGAGGTAGAATTTTGAAAGATCAGTTTGGCAGCTTTGCTGATCATGGATTTGACAGGGGCTGGGAGAAAATACAGGCCAAGGATGCATGCTAACAAGACCGGTTGGGAAGCTCAGCAGGAGGTGGTGACGGTCCCAGCCAGGATGGCAGAGTGAGGATGCTGAGGACAGCACCTGTTGATGAGGTATTTGGGAAGGGGAATACATAGGACTTGTTGGTTGATTGGACATGGGGAGTAAGGATGAGCAAAGAGACAAGGACTCTCAGGCTCTGGCTTGGTGATATTCACTGAGACGGGACACACAGGAGGAGAGAGGGACTTTTTGGGAACGAGGATGAGCTGAGTTTCAGATTTGGTGAGTCTGAGGTATCAATGGAACAGCAGGTAATGGCTCATTCATTCATTCATTCTTTACTGAGCGTTTGCTATGTGCCAGCCATGCCTGGATATTGCCTTTCTGTAGCTGTTGGTCTAGAGGGGCGTTCAAAAAGTTCTTTCCTACACTGAATACTGAGCTGCTGAACTTTTACCCACTGGCCTTCTGCCTTTCAGGACTTCACTGGAGTCTACCTTCCTAGAGAGATCAGAGATCAGTGATCGTGGTTCCCTGCATCATCTTTGTTTCTGGGACCATGGAGCTGTGGAGCAAATGTGGACTTTAGAAAATTATAAAGGCGTGGATTTCAGCCTGAACACCATTTTGTATGATCTCATTTGTTGTGAGTTTAACGAAACCTTTTTTTGTTTGTTTTTTTCAGATGGAGTTTTGCTCTGTTGCCCAGGCTGGAGTGCAGTGGCACCATCTTGGCTCACTGCAACCTCTGCCTCCGGGTTCAAGTGATTCTCCTGCCTCAGCCCCCAGGTAGCTGGGATTACAGGTGTGTGCCACCACACCTGGCTATTTTTTTGTATTTTTAGTAGAGACAGGTTTCATCATGTTGGCCAGGTTGGTCTCCAACTCCTGACCTCAAGTGATCTGCCCGCCTCAGCCTCTCAAAGTGCTGAGATTACAGGCGTGAGCCACTGCGCCCAGCCTAACAACACCTCTTTTATAGACAGTAGAGTGCTGGCGTTGGTTCCTACTGGCTAACAGAACCAAACAAGGGCATCTCTGCCCCATTCTGCATGCATTGGCATCCCATTGGTAGCTTGAAATTGACCATTGTGGGAGTATTTACACAGCAGAAATTGGCAAATGCTACAAATGAGGACTCCCTTTTTCTTTCAAAAAGCCGGTTGGTAAATGTTTATTGCATATAGAATTATGGCTTGGATAATGGACGTAGAGCCCCTGGCACATGGCACCCAGATATATACACATTGCTTAGCACACAGTGGGCACCTAATAAGTGTGACTACCTTTTCCTTTGACGTTTCCTCTCTGTGGGAAAACTGTTGCTTTATTTGCTCGTGATAACAAGTTCCCTTCCTCCAGGGCCTGCTCTGCTCTTTTCTCAAACAGCATGGTCCCAAGTGAAGCTGCCACCTCCTTACTCCTCTTGGCCTTCGCAGTGGGATAGAGTCAAAAGGATGGGGCTTTTGGAGTCTCAGGAGACTAAATTTGAATCTTGGCGCTGCCTCCTACTAGCTACGTAATGACCCTGGGCAAGAAATATAATCATTCTGAGCCTCAATTAAGTCACCTGTGAACTGGGGATGGGCATGCCTCCCTCATTAAGTTGTTGTGAAGATGAAATGAGGTAATGGGTACACGAGGGCCTGGCATTGAGGCGGCAGTTTCAGTGCGCGCTTGGCCCATGCTGGTCTCCTTCCCCTAAAACGTCCAGTGTGGTCTTGGGAGAACAGCTTTGACGGTGGGGTGTGGGGTGGGGGAGGAAGGAATTGGGGCTGCAGCCTTGGGAAGGATGGTTCCTGGTGGAACATGTAGGTCGAGAGAGGCTGTGGGCCATAGGACCTTCCAAATGTATGCCGAGTGCAGTGGAAGGGAACTCCCCCGGCCACAGTTCACGCTTCCAGGCCCTCACCTGCAGATCTGCAGAGAAACTCCTGTCGGCAGCTCGGCTCGTGGGTTTCTGGGGCAGCTGTGGCAGCCTGGGCTGCCCTGATTTACCACCCCAGCCCCAAGCAGATTAAATCACCCAGAGTCATTTGAATTTTACCTGGCCTTGTCGCACAAATCTTAGAAACTGCTGTCTGGCAAGAAAACTTTCCCTGTGCTTTTTGGAGGAAGGCTAAGAGCTCTAGAAATTGAGGTGAAGTGGAAAAGGGAGGTGGTTCCAGGGGGGTTTCTGCATCTTAGGGTCAGACCAAAGTTGTGGGTTAGAGGAGGGATTGTGGTGGTGGTGGTGGTGTGTGTGTGTGTATGTGTGTGTGTGTATGCGTGTGTGTGAAATTGCTGCAAAGGCCTCTGGGACAATGTCATTTCTGGCTGTGTGACATAGGGCAAGTCCCTTAACCCCTCTGAGTCTCACGGGACTGTTCTGAAGGCCAAAAGGGCTGGCTTGTGTAAACTGTTTTGTAGCCCTCAATCATGTCTGTGATTACTAATTAGAAAGATGAGACAAATTGAGACAAATGACTATTTAAATAAATTATATCTGGCAGTGGTTACTGTGTGTCAAGCAGAGTAAGAGCGCGAGGAGCCCAGTGGAGGGGCACGTTGGCAGAGGTCTGGGGCTTGGCATGGACCTTAAAGGAAGCCTACGTCCCAGAGAAGTGAAGTGGAAGAGGTTGGAGTGCAAGTGAGGTTGTCGACACCATGTCTGTCTCCATCAGTGTGTGTGGCTCTGAGGATGGGTCCTGATTGGCTTAGCCAGTTCAGATATTGCCCCCTTCTCTGACCTTGGCACACTGGGTGGTTCCAAACCAGTCATACATATATTCCCTTTAGTCACTGGGATTGATTCAGATTGGCCCCATCAGACAAACACTCAGGGTTTTTGTGAGATGGCTGGGGAAACACATCTAACCTCTCTATCTGGATGTGAATGAGGAAACAGGTGGCCCTGTTTCTGGCAGGCATCTGGTGACTAGGAGCACTAACCCGAGAATGTCACCAACATATGGAGGTGGGAAGAACCTGGAAAATCACAGAAAAATGGAGTCCCATTCCCAGTCAAACTGTGCCTGATGTCTGTTGCATCTGGAGTATTACATGAGCTAATAAATCCACTTTATGAAGCCAGTTTGGATTTCATTTCTGTGTTACTTGCAACATAAAAGCTGATACAGGGGCTGATGGAGGGGTCTGAGTAGGGAGCCGAGAGCCGAGTTGGTATTAGGCAGCCATGAATGAGGAGACCCTGGAGGTAGGAGGAAAGGGTGGGTGGGGGTGCGTTGTGGAGTGAAGGTGGCTGGGGCCTACAGGAAATGAGACTGGAAGGAAGCTTGGAGTTGAATAATGGAAGGACTCAGGTGCAAGGTTAAGAATTTGGGCTTGATTTTTGTAGGCAAGGGAGAGTAGCTTCAGATTTGTGAGCAGAGGAAGGGAAGGGATAAGTGATGTGAAAACAGTGATATTTTGGGAAGATCAACGTAAGAGTGGGATATATATATATATATATATATATATGTATATGTATATATGTATATATTGGATTGAAAAGAGAAATTGGGGGCTGAGGCTTTAAAAATTATCATTTATGGATGCTACACATAATTCATGTATTATCTCACTTAATCCTTAAAAGAGCCTCCCCTACCCAACCCCCTTTTTTTTAAGCTGAGTTTTCAAAATCTTGAGTAGCTTGACTAGACCATATAATTAGCAAATGGTGGAGTCAGGACTTGAACACAGGTCGTCTGACTTCAAACTGTGTATCCTTATTCACCACATTTATGGTAACACAGATGACAAATTAGGATGGGTTAGATAAGATAGTGGCTACACAGGTAGAGAGAATGGAACAAGAGACATTAGGGTTGGTGAAATTCTAGACATTTTGTCATTAAAGTCAGAAACCAAATCAGGATAACTGTTGTTATCAGTGTTTAGAAAACACTTTTCCAAAAGTGCTTGGCATTGCAATTAGATAAGAAGATGAAACAGAAAGTATAAACGTTGAGAGAGAGGAGCAAATAATCATAGTTTTCAGATAAGATGATTATTTATCTGGAAAACTCAAGACAATATTCTGCAAAACAATAAAAAAAAAAAACAGAGCTCAGTAAAATGGCCAGTAACAAAGCAATCTACACAACTATCAGCTTTTCTATTTATAAAATGACTATTTAGAAAGTAAAATAAAAGCCCCCATCCATACTGTAAAACACAAACAAAAACACAAAGTGCCCAGAAATAAACTTTACAAAAAGTGTGTAGAATTACATGAAGAAAATTCCTCTGAGTTTGAATAAATATGGTACATACCTAGTTCTTGGGTAGAAAGATTTAATACTTTAAGGATGCCAATTCTCCTAAACAAAGGTGTGAAATTAAGATAATCTAATCAAGATCTCAACAGGATTAAAATTTTTTTTGACAAAACAATTGTGAAGCTAATCTGGAAGAATATCAGCAATGAGAATAAGGAAAATACCAAAAAAGAAAAATGGTGAATATTTACTCTATCAGGTATTAAAATGTTTTATAAAGGTACCATATAATTAAAATTCTTATATAAGAATAGGCAGATCATTGAGACAGAATAGAGTCTAGAAATGGACCCAAATATTTAAGGGTTTTTTTGTTTGTTTTAGGAACAGAGTCTCGCTTTGTTGTCCAGGCTGGAGTTTAGTGGCGTGGTCTTGGCTCACTGCAGCCTTGCCTTCCCAGGCTCATGTGATCCTCCCACCTCAGCCTCCTGATTAGCTGGGACTATAGGTGCACACTACCATGCCCAGCTACTTTTTTGTATTTTTTTGTCAGATGGGGTTTACCACACTGCCCAGATTTGTCTCAAACTCCTGGGCTCAAGTGATCTGCCACCTTGGCCTCCCAATGTGCTGGGATTATAGGCATGAGCCATTGCACCCAGCCTTAAGGTATTTTTTTTTTTTTTTTTTGAGATGGAGTCTTGCTCTGTTGCCAGGCTGGAGTGCAGTGGCCCAATCTCGGCTCACTGCAACCTCTGCCTCCTGGGTTCAAGCGATTCTTCTGCCTCAGCCTCCTGAGTAGCTGGGACTACAGGTGTGTGCCACCACACCCGGCTAATTTTTGTATTTTTAGTAGAGATGGGGTTTCATCATGGCGAGGATGGTCTCGATCTCTTGACCTTGTGATCCGCCTGCCTTGGCCAAGGTATTTTTATATGATAAAACAACATTTTAATTGAGTTGGGAAAATACGGGCTATTTTATAAATGGTGTTGGGATAATGGGCCAGCCATCACAACACTCCTTATTGGGGTGAGAACTCTCTGACTTGATCTAATAAGCTCAAGCCATGAAGACCATGTGGCATAAATATGAGTGAATATTTTGATCATCTTAAGAAGGGGAAGGTTCTTCTAAGTATGATATTCAGAAATCATAAAAGACTGATAAATTTGACTATATGAAAATTAAACATTTAAATACCTTAAAGAACATTATAAGAAAAATTTAAAGAGGATATATATATATATAAAATAGACGAAAGCTTAATCTTTTTTTTTTTTTTTTTTTTTTTGAGATGGAGTCTTGCTCTGTTGCCCAAGCTGGAGTGCAATGGCATGATCTTGGCTCACTGCAACCTCCAGCTCCTGGGTTCAAGCGATTTTCCTGCTTCAGCCTCCCAAGTTATTGGGACTACAGGTGTGTGCCACCACGCCAGGCTAATTTTTTGTATCTTTGGTAGAGATGGGATTTCACCATGTTAGCCAGGTTGGTCTTAATCTCCTGACCTTGAGATCTGCCTGCCTTGGCCTCCCAAAGTGCTGGGATTACAGGCATGAGCCACCATGCCTGGCCAAGTTTAATCTTATTTCTAATGTACAAA